AGGAAATAGAGAAGAACCAAATTAGTAGAATGAAAAGTTAAAAGGGGGCTGTTACTATCAAGTTTACAGAAATAAAAAAGATTAAAAGATATTGCAAACAATTATTTTCTGATAAATTAGATAGCTTACTTAAAATGGACATTTGTTAGAAAAACACAAACTACCAAAACTGACTAATAAAGAAATACATAATCTGAACACGAATATAATAACAAAAGAGATTAAGTTAGAAAAAAACTACCCACAAAGAAAAGCCCAGGAATATACAGCTTCAATAGTGAATTCTACCAATATTTTAAAAAGAATTAATGGCAGTCTTTACAAACTTTCCTAAGATATTTGAGAGGAGAAACATTTCCCAACTCATTCTATGAGCCATGTTACTCCAATACCAACACCAGAGAAAGATCACAAGGGAAAAAAAAAAACCTACAAAAAATGTTAACATCATGACCCAGGTGGGATTTATCTAGGAATGCAAGATGGGTTTAACCATGCATTTAACAATAAATTCTTAAATGTGGCATCAAAAGTACAAGCACAAAAAGAAAAAAACTAGATAAATTGATTTCTCACCAACATTAAAATCTTGTGCTTCAAGGGACATCATGAAGAAAATGAAAAGACAACCTCCAGAATGGAGTGGAAATATTTATAAGCCATGTATCTGGAAGAGGTAGTGTTCAGAATACATGAAGAGTTCTTACAACTCAACTATAAACAGGCAATAACAAAATTTTTAAAAGAAAAAAATAAAATATTATATACACATTTCTGCAAAGATATAAAAATGGTCAGTAAATATATACATGATATTTGACATCATCATTCATAAGGGAAATGCAGATCAAAATCACAACGAGATACCACTTAATACCTACCAGGATAATGTGATCAGAAAGGAAGACAATACCAAGAGCTGACAAGGATATAGACAAGTCAGAGCCTTCAATGAAGCAACTTTGGACAATTGCTTGGCTGTCCTTCAGAAAGTTAAAAATAAAGTCACCATTTGTAACAGTTGATATATTGTGTCAACTTGAAGCTTAACTAACCTTTTAGAAGCTTAAGTGACTGGGGGCGGGGGCAGGGTCCTCATTTTGTAAACATCCTGAGCCTGTGCAAAAGGAAGGCTCAGAGATGGTGTGGGCAGGTTGCCTGCATATAATATAAGGGAGGAAAAGAGGCTTGCTCCCTCCTCATTTTGCTCTTGTTTTCCTGTCTTCTGCCACCATGAATTGTTGCCCCTTTAATATGCCACCCTGCCTTAGAGCCAGCTGGTTATGGACTGAAACCTCCACAAACTGTGAGCTAAATAAACCTTTCCTCCTTTAATTTTGGGCATCAGGTATTTGGACTCAGCAATGAGAGAAAAGTAACTAAGACACCATTTGACCGAATAACCCCACTTTTAGCGAAAAAAATATCTATATCTCTATCTATCTATCTATCTATCTATCTATCTATCTACCTCCAAGAGAGATGAAAACATATACCCACAAAAAGCTTTCATATAAAGTTTCAGCACATTACAATAGACCAAAGATGGAAACAACCCAAATGAAATGGGAAACCACCCAAAGCAACTAATCAATAGGTAACCAAAATATGGTGCTGTATAGGCATAAAAATTTTCTAGCCCCCCAAAAGAATGAAGTACTGATATATGCTAAATTCATAAGCCTTGAAAACACTATGTTAAATGAAAGATGCCCGTCACAAAGACCCTATATTATGTGATCCTATTTATATGAAGTACACAAACAAATCAATAGAGACAGAAAATAGATTCATGGTTGCTTGCAGCTGGGGGAATAGGGGAATATGGGCAGTGAGCGCTAAAGGGGTTCTTTTTGAGGTAATGAAAATGTTCTAATATTGACTATGATGATCACTGCCCACTGAAGTATAGACATTGTCATTGTATAGCAGGTGTCCGTAAGAAATGTGTCCTTCATGCAATATGCTAATAAAGTCCAGAAGGCAACTGAAACATCCGGTTGATCATGTTCCCTGCAGTTGGATATCATCAAACCTCAGTCAGCTGGCTGCCACATAGACTAAGGCTCAAATCCTAGTTCACTAACTTAATGGTGTGATCTTGCCCAAGAAGTTCTCTGTGAGCCACAGTTTGCTCACCTGCAAAAGGAGTATAATAGCAGTACCTACCATACAGGATGTATGTGAGGTTAACTATTATATATCTGCATAGAAAGAGCATACAGTAAGCACTCAATTCATAGTAACTACTATGACTATCATTGTAGTTACTACTACTGCTATTATTTCTTTCCAGACATTACATTAAAATAGTGGGCATCAGGGCCGGGCGTGGTGGTGTATGCCTGTAACCCCAGCACTCAGGAGGCTGAGGCAGGAGTTCAAGGCCAGCCTGGACTATGGAATGAGACCCTGTCTCAAATAGATAAATAAATGGCATCATATTTCATATATAATAAAAATCTCTTTATTTTTAACATCCTATATAGTCTTCTCAATTTCTCATATGGTCTCTACAGATATTTTAAAGGCTGCCTTATACTCTATACAGTGTACTTATCCTAGTTGACTTAACTATTCTCCTAACCATTAAGCCTTTTCAAAAAATCATTTTGCTAATATAAAAGATGTTGTGGTGGAAACTTTGTAGAGAAATAATTTTTCCCTATGTTTGGGATTTTTCCTTCAGGTTACAAAAGAGCATTACTGGGTTAAGGAATAGCAATCTTTTTAAGGCTCTTACTGTTGCCAAATTTGCTTTCCAGAGTAGTGGAGCCAGCTTACATCCCACCCAGCAGTCTATCAGAGTGCTCACACAGCTGTGCCCTAAGCCAGCCTTGCGTGTCATCTTATTTTACTGTTACTTCATTTCACTTACCTTTTTGATGCTGAGGACTGAACTTGGGTCTTTGCACATGCTGAGCACACACTATGGTGCTGAGCTACACCCCCACCCTGGCTGTCATTTTTATTTTCTGAAGTATTTGCAAACTGGAAAGGCAAAATGGCATCTCATTTATTTGGTCTGTTATTCATAAGCATGAATAGTTTTCCAAATACTTTTGCACAACTAATATGAAAAAGTAGTTGTCTTATGAATTGTCTTTACATATTTATCTATTGAGGTCCTAACTTTTTAATGAAGTCATACACGTTTGGAAAATTAATTGCCTCTGACTCATCCCATTATATTGCCTTTTAAGTTTTGGGTTTTTGTTGTTGTTATTGTTTTAATGTATAGAAGTGTTTTGTTAGTTAAATTGATTGACATTTCTCTCCTATTTTTTTTCTGTTTAAATTTAGAAAGCCTAGAGAAAACACAACTTTTTTTACAGGTGGTTTAACACAAGACTACAACTGAGCTACTCAGAGAAATTTTTGAAATTTATGAATGAGAAGAGCCTGATCTCATGATCATCTACTGCAGTGACCTTCCAAAAGCTGATACTTTCCCTCTTTTTCCATTCTAGATCCCCAGGTAGTCACTATTAAGCATCCAGGGAGGGTCTTTCTTATATGCTGGTGCTTCCCAGGACTGCTGGAATTACCACGGAGGAGAAAGCTGGGAAGAGCCCAGGCAGGACAGGTCCACAGCTCCCAAGGACCTCCACTTTTATCACATGGATCTGCACAGCTCTGAAGACAGACTGCAGATCTTCCCAGAGGAAAACAATAGACTGAGGAGAGAAACAGTCCAAGCTGAAATGAGCCACGAGCCAATGGAGGCAGGGGAAGGCCAAGCTCAAAGAGACCTCCAAGAAGAAGTGGATGAACTTGTCCATTTATATGGGCTAGAGGATGACCACGAGTTAGGGGATGAGTTTGTTGATGAAGACAGGATGGGGGTGCCGATGTACCCTCCTTATGGAATGAAGAGGAGGGAGCCAACCAGGGAGCAGCGAGACTGGAGACTTGGGGGAGAGGCTGGGGCTGAGGACCAGGGCTACACAGGGTGGGGCACGGCAGCCCAGAGCCAGGCCTTGCGGGAAGCCTACAGGTACACACACGGCTGCGCCAGTGAAGAGTACGAGTGCTACGTCATCCCAGAAGAGGAAGACGAGGAAGAAGCTGCCGACCTCTTCTGTGTCACTTGCAGAACTCCCGTCAGAGCTGTTGAGAAGGATTTTGATGAGCACAAGGAGCATGAAGTGACCCCACTCAATAAAGCCCTAGAGAGCGCCAAGGTAACACAGGCTGTCTGGGGCCTTTGTCCGGGGCAGTCACATTGTGGTTTCAAGGGGACAGTGGGGAAGCAATCTCAATGCTGCCTCCAGAGGAGACAGAGAAGGGGAGCACTGACGCTTTCTCTGTGCTGCTCTGTTGGACAGGATGAAATTCACAAAAACATGTACAAGTTGGAGCAGCAGATAATCGAGATGGAAAATTTTGCAAGTCACTTGGAGGAGGTTTTCATCACTGTGGAGGTAAGAACACGCTGGGCAACCTTGTTAGACACAGATGGCTTCCCTCAGCGGCCAGGGGCACGGCCAGCTTTGGTGTGTGTTAGAGAATCCATTTCCTTCCCACATGAGCTGTCGCCGCTGCTCTGTCTCCTCACCCTTTCTCCTGCCCCACAGCACTCAGGCACGCCTGCAGCGTGCGCTGTGTTAGTGTGCTCTGGGTTAGGAGGCTGTGTTTTTTCCCTGCACACCCCAGCCGCACACTGAGGGATGTGCTGGAATACTCATTTTATACATGTTTGGTGCATGAATAAATAAGGGGGAAACTGCAAGTAGAGTCTTTGTCCTTCTCTTTCTTGGACTCCTTTTCCTCTTCATCCCCTAAACCCAAACCAACACTTGTGTGTGGCTCAAATCTTCTTTATTCTAACAAGGATCACTTCACAGTGGCATCACCCTGGTGGAGAAGAGTGAACATTTATGTTCAGTAATAAAATGAATGAACAGGGCCTGGGGATTTAGCTCAGCGGCACAGAGCCTGCCTGGCAAGCGCAAGGTCGTGAGTTTGAGTCCCAGTACCAGAAGGGAAAAAATAAATAAATAAATAAATAAACAGCCTCCCTTGGATTTTGGTTTGTTTATATATTTTAGTTCATTTTTTGTTGCACACAAATGTGCATCAATCCCTTGGGTATTACCTGATGCGCCAGCTAGGTAACCAGACACAGTGGGTTCCCCATGTTGTTTTCTTGTTCTCTCAGGCTAATTGAGGGCCTTTGGAGTATCTATCATGTTTTGTTTTTGTTTTTGTTTTTGTTTTTGTTTCCGGTACCGGGAATCAAACTCACGACCTTGCGCTTGCCAGGCAGGCGCTGTGCCACTGAGCTAAATCCCCAGCCCCGGAGTATCTATCATGTTAATGACATAAAATCAGATGTGGGATTAGTCATTCCGGTTGTTGGGACAATGTACCTAGCACTCACAATTAAGTAATAGGAGGAAAGATTTATTTTTAGCTCATGGTTTTAGAGGATTCAGGGCATGGTAGGCCAGCTCCAAGGTGGAAAAAGAATGATGGAAGGGCCTGGAGGAGGAAAGGTGCTCACCTTGTCACAACCAGGAAGCAGAGAAGGAGCCAGGGACAAGAAGACACCCCTTTGGGTCATGTCCCCAGTGACCACTTCCAAGCAGACCCCACCCCCTACAGCACAGTCAGCCATGAGCTCATCCATGGTTGACTCCACTGCTGAGTACCCCGCCCATGATCCAACCACCTTCCACACACGACGGGCTTTCGGGAGACATTTTAGATCTAAGCCATAACAAATAACAGTGTTTAGTTTTCTGCAACAACATTCTGCCAGTTATTGCTACTCAGACACAGACATACATAAGCTGTGCATGGGCCACAAAAATCGGTGTCATTGTCTTCATCTAGTTACCACTTTACAGACTCGCTGAGAGATCAGTAAGACTTTAGAATTCCAAGGTTGGAGGGGGCTTCCTCTCCCCGAGCCCTTCCCCCTCCTCATCCTGCCCTGGGGATGAGTGTGGGCCAGGCCTGCTGAGCTAGAGTCCACTGCTCTGTCACTCTGCCTGCTGGTAACTGCACAGAGACGGGCCAGCCACTCTCCCAGGCCGCCTCCATGAAGCTCTGTGAGATGCCCATCCTGGCTTTGCCAAGTGCTCTTTCACTCAGCTGTCCCTTATTCCTCCTAAGAGTAAGCTTCCCCAGAGTATAGCTGGGGTGGCTGGATCTAGATTGTGTGCTGCTGGGATTTATTCATGGTTCTATGCTAGGGTTAAGGCTTCCTTACCCTGGATGGGAGTGCTACCTGCCCTAAGGGTGGGTAGCCTGGATAAGATATAAGGAACAGAAAGAGGTCACAGCTTGTTCCTTGCTGCTTGCTGCCTGGTGCTTCCCACAGACTGTCTCTCCTCTGTGGTGCCCCTATGCCTGCCACCCTGCCTTGGAGCCAGCAAACTATGGACTGAAACCTCTACAAACTGTGAGCCAAATAAACCTTTCCTCCTTTAACTTTTGGTATCAGACATTTTGTCTCAGCAATGGGGAAAGTAAGACAAACCATGAGCTAAAATAAACATTTTCTCAGGTTAAGTTGATACTTCTTGGGTATTTTGCTACAGCAATGGAAAACCAAGAAAACCAGCTTACTTTTTCCTCCCTCCTTTTCTTTCTTTCTTCCTTCCTTTCTCTCTTTATTTCTTTCTTTCTTACTAGATATTGGATCCTAGCCTTTGCACTACACCCTCAGCTCTTTTTTATTTTTTATTTTGAGACAGGGTCTTGCTGAGTCACTAAGTTGCTCAGGCTGGGCTCCAACCTGTGGTCCTCCTGCCTCAGCCTCCCAGAGTGCTGGGATTTGGGGGTGCACCATTCTGCCTGGCCCAGCTTACTCTTAGATCAAAGTACCTTCAACCTCAGTAAGGACTCTGAAAGCAGCCTTTAATGGTATGCATTGGAGAGTCATCTATTGCTGTTCCTTCTCACCATTCTGAGCAATTCTTATGTACATGGTAGGTACTTAGTTATGACTCTGAATAGCAGGTAAGAGCCTCTTCTTTGGAACTCTCATTATCATCTGATTAAAATGACTCAGTCAAAACCTTCAGAGTCTCCTGGGCTTCAGTATATAATAATGAAGAGCAGGAATCACCATCCTCTGCTTAATATCCCTCATGTCATTATCCTGAACTAAACACTACAGTACCAAACAAAGCACCCACCTGCTTGCTCCTTGCTCTTCTTGTCTATTAGGCAGTGCCATCTGGCTCTAACATGCATTGGCTCCAACACTCATCTTCCCCTCGGTGGTGTGACCCTAGCTGATGCAATTCAATGTTTCTGTGATCCAGGTATCATAAGTGGAGCATTGTAAGGAGGGCAAACATCTCCACCTTAAGATGGAAGGTTCCCATAACAATCTGATTCATCATTGAAGAGCTCCTTGGCTGGTTGTCATGGTGATGGAAGGTAGCTAAAACTGGGAGAGGACTGAAAAATGCTGCCAGGAAATATAGCTGTGCTTTTTGCATTTCTGACGGTCTAGGATGGAGACTCCTCTGTCTGAGCTCCCCCAGCATCCATCCCAGCATCCTGGCAGAGATAGGACAATGCAGAGGGACTAAAACGCCTCTAGGGAGGTACATGTTCATGCCCCGGGTGAGTTAGTCACACATCACGTGCGTTGAAATGATGACTGAGGCTACCTGTCTTGCAGGAGAATTTTGGAAAACAAGAACAAAACTTTGAGTCACATTACAATGAGATCTTGGAAACGCTCGCCCAAAAGTATGAAGAAAAAATACAAGCTCTAGGAGAGAAGAAGAAAGAGAAGCTGGAGGCCTTGTATGGACAGCTGGTCAGTTGTGGGGAAAACCTTGATACCTGCAAAGAACTGATGGAAACCATAGAGGAGATGTGTCATGAGGAGAAGGTTGACTTCTTAAAGGTCAGTAGTGAAATGTAAAGGACAAAAATGAAATCATAAGCCAAACTGACAGCTATGGTTAGGGAAGGTCGGGTTGTCCTCTCTGCCCCTGGGCTGTTGAAATTGAGCTTTATGGTCGGCATCTACCTGAGGCCTCTGGACATTCACAGCAGGGAGGCTGTGGCCCTGTCATGCTACACAGCTTTGTCATGAGTGGCCAGGCTGCTACACAGCTGACCCTTTCCTACCAACCCTGCTGAAGCAGCACCTCTGTCCTGGCAACTCAGGGATCCTAGAGATGAGCACAGACAGTTTCCTGAGAGTTTTCTGGCTACTTCAGGTGGCCTCTTAGAGCTCTGAGGAGAAAGTTGTCCAAGCTAAACCAAGGCAACACAATTTCTCAGTCACAGGGGCAGAAAGTCTAAGTCTTACTGCATAAACTTATGTATCCCATGTACCCCAAAATTCCATTCCTTAATTTCTTCAAGTCAAATTAAATCTGACCTAAGCCCCATGTAGCTGGGCTGTGGGAATTTCAATCTCAGTCAGAGCTGGGACCCTCTTCCTCCACAAGGTTCCACAGGACTGTGGGGCAAATGTGTCCAGGATGTGCAGAGGAGCCTCCAGCTCCAGAAGCTTCCTGGCTACCGTGTATGACCCCTACACAGTCTGGGCCCACAGCGGCTCCTCAAAGCCCAAGTGCACCTCCTTCCTGCCATGCTTGGGCAAGAGACCATGACTAAAGCAGAAAGCAATCCACAGGTACCATGAGAGCCACCCACACTTACGCTTCTTGCGTCAGGGGTCCCACGGTGGCAGTGTATCTCAGAGACACAACTCAGGATGAGGGGGTGACACCTTGAAGGTATTCTCAACATTGTTTATGGTGGTAAAAATTTGAAACAACCAAAATGCCCAACGTAGAGGAACAGTGAAGTAAATGGTGGGGTTTCCATTCCATGAACTGTTTGCAGTCCTTCAAATCAGTGGTCCAGAGAGCGTCTGTGACATGGCAAGCTTACCCTCTAAACAGGAAAAGCCATGGTGCAAAGAAAATGCACAGACACAGGATGGTTTTGTGAGGTGAATGCAGCTGACTGTTCCCTTTTCCTACTTTACATTGTATGTTTGCGTGCAAGATTTACTTCCAGAGACAATGTTTTCTCCTTTTCTCTTCCTTCGTAGGACGCGGTGGCCATGACTGACAGGTAAACCTTCTGTTCTCACGCATGTTTCCTTCTTTGTTCCTTCCACTTCTGGACTCAGTTCTGGGGGCTTCTGTGCTTGCAGTTTCAGCCTCCTCTATGTAAAAGAGCACTGGCTTCCAAGTGGTGGAGTGGAGTCTTGAGGAACCTGTAGAATTGAATCTCAGAGTCTCAGGGCCAAAAGTGAGCCCAGCCAGCAAACTGGCCAGGTCTGCACAAGCCCCTCTTTGCACCAGGAGAAACTAGGATCTGGAAAGCACCCCAGGGCCCCCCAACTGTTCTAGGACCTTGGAGAAGCAAAAGCATGCACAGTTTAGAGTCAGACAGACAGGAGTTCTCACCCTGCTACCCTGTACCCTGGGCAGGTCCAACTTATCTAAGGACCCGCATTTCCTGTTTACACACACGGTCAATTTTGTGAGAAGCCAGTAAGTCACTGTCTATAAAGCAACATGAATGTTGAAACTTTTTTTTTTTTTTTTTTTTTTTTTGAGACAGGGTCACACTATGCAGTTCAGGCTGGCCTTTCATTCACCTTGTATCCCAGGCTGGTCTTGAACTCGCAGCGATCCTCCTGCCTCAGCCTCCTGAGTGCTGGGATTACAGGCGTGCACCACCAGCCCAGCTGAAACTTAATACTCAGGGTTTTGGCCAGAGTTGACCTGGTTGCAGATCCTGGCTTTGCCATTTAAAATCCTTCTGATTGCCAGAAGACCCAGAGCCCCGAGATCAGCACCTTGAGGGCACTCGATGTCCCTTTCTGAGCCCTCGGTACATCTCAGGGCCTGGACGCTGTGGGTGAGGCTGTTTCCAGGGTAGCTGCCGAGGGACCCTCTGTGGGCAGGGAGTAGATGTCCACCTGGCCGCCCTCTGACACAACCCTTCCCTTCTCCTCCCCTCAAAGGCACAAACCAATGCCACCCACCCCCGCTGGTGACTTCCCAGGTAGGCGAAGGCAGCCAGCAGCATGTTAGGACGGGGAAAGTCAACAGAGGGCTCTTCAGTCACTACCAGTGACACTGCACCCAGTGACACCCTGAACAGCACACCCCTCCATTCTTGCCGCTGTGTCTTTGTATACACACAGGCTCGGGAAATTCCTGAAAACAAAAACAGACGTGGAAATCTCTGCACAGCCTGACTTTGAAGACCAGACCTTGGACTTCTCTGATGTGGAACAGCTGATGGGTTCCATGAACACCATTCCGGGTGCGTTCCCACCTGTGGGTGACCTTCACAGCAAGCTCACCTCTCCAGGAGCCCGTGTGTGTGTGTGTGTGTGTGTGTGTGTGTGTGTGGGTGGGTGTGTACACTGAACACCAGATCTATCCTCGTAGCATATCTCACTGTGTGGCGCGGTACATCTCCAGAACTTACTCATCTTGTAGAACCAAATCCTTATACTCACTGAGCAACCATTCCTCATGGATTTCTCCCCTGACCCCAGCCCCTGCCAGTCACCATTCTGTTCTCTGCTCCTGAGTTCGACCACTTTTGGTATCTCGTGTAAGTGGAGTAATGGAGCACGTGTCCTTTGGTGACTGGTTCATTTTCTTTAGCACAATGTCTTGTGTTTATCCTGGTTGTCACAAACTGGAGGACTTCCTTCCTTTTCAAGGCTAATATTGTCCTATGTGTGTGTACCACATTGTCTTCATCTATCTGCTCATGGACATTTAGTTTGTTTCCATATCTTGGCTATTGTGAATAATTCTGCAGTGAACATGGAGTGCACATATCTCTTGCAGCTCCCGATTTCACATTCTTTTGGGTGTACACCTAGAATGGGACTGCTGGATCATATGGCAGTTCTACTTTTAATTTTTTGTGGGACCAACATCATCCTGTTTTCCATAGTGGCTATGCTAATTTACATGCTCACTGGCACTGTATAAGGGTTCCAGTTCTCTGCATCCTTGCCCACACTTGTTATCTTTTGCTCCCCACCCTCCACCCCTGGTTCAGTGGAGACTGAACCAGTACTTTGTTTTTTTATTGTTTACTACTGAGCTATAGGAGAGTCATATATTTTGGACACTAGTCTCTTATTTGGGGGGCAGTGTTTTGTTTTCTTTTTTTGTGCTAGAGATTGAGCTAAATCCCAACTTCCCCTTTTTATTTTTTTTCCAACCTCCCCTTTTTTTTTTTTTTTTTGGTTTTTCTCTGGTACCAGGAACCAAACTCACGACCTTGTGCTTGCTAGGCAGGCGCTTTTGCCGCTGAGCTAAATCCCCAGCCCCTCCAAACTCCCCTTTTTAAAAAATTTATTTTGAGATAAGCTCTAGCTAAGTTGCCCAGGCTGATCTCAAACTTGGGATTCTCCTGACTCAGCCTCCCAGAGTGCTGGGACTACAGGTAAGCTCCACCATGTTTGGCTGGATGTTAGTCTCTTACTCAATATAAGGTGTGCAACTGGTTTTCCCCAACTCCATACGTTGTCTCTTCACTCTGTCGATGCTTCTTTGTTGTGCCAAAGCTTTTTAGTTAAGTGCAATCCCATTTATCTATAGTGTTTGTTTTATTATCTGTGTTTTCCATGTCAAATCCAAGAAATCATTTCAAGACCAATGTCAAGAATCTTTTCTTCTGTGTTTTCCTCAAGGTTTTTACAGGTCTAGTCTTATGTTCAAATCTTTAGTCCATTTTGAGTGCCACTAAAAACATGGGTGTGCATATATCACTGTGGTATGGTGCTTTTAATTCTTTTGGGAAGATACCCAAAAGGTAAATATCTGGGTCAAACGGGACCTCTAGTCATAGTTTTTGAAGAATCTCCACACTAATTTCCACAGTGGTTGCACCAGTCTACACTCCCACCAACA